CATGAATTTCTTTACTTTTTTTTCGTTTGGAAAATTAGGTCGAATAGATTTTTATTTATTTTTAATTTAGTGTTTTGGAACTGGAGTTTGATGAAAACATGGAAGAAAATGAATATTAGTGGTTAGCCATTATTTTAAATGGAAAACGATGGTTCTAAAATTAGCTAGAAAAACTTAAAAGTTTGGCAAAATTAAACAAAATCTTAAGGATCTCATATCTGAATTTTTAATTAGCTGATGGTAGTGAGGCTCTGGATTTTATTGGATTTTGTCGATTAAAGTGTATTTTTTTCAGTTGACATTACTGTATGGAAAGAGTTTTATCCAAGTTCGTTTCCTCCAATCGTCAAATTGCCAGCTTTGTTCGACCCTCGACATAATCCACAATAAAAATTTAATAGTGAGTTTGAAGTTTTCGTTTATAATATTTTCCTAGTATTAGTTTTGGAATGTGACGAACTTCGTCTCGTCAACAATATCAAGAAGGCCAAAGGGCCTAATCAACTTTGTCACTATATATAATGATACTTTATTTCTATGTTCGTCTATTGATTTTGGTTTCTGATATGTGATTAATAAACATAATTATATTGATTTGCCAATCCTATTCAATAATTCAGAATCGTTCACTTTCGGATTTAAAGTAAAGTCGAAGGAGGTAGATGCTCCAACAGTTACCAGCTGGTGCTTTTGCTCCATGGACACAATTAAACAAGGGTAAAATTTTTAACTTCTTTTCACAACCGTAACTTGATTATACAAAAGAAACACGGGTTTATGCTTGAGATCCAATAATTAATTTTCGTCTCTGTATCAAAAGTGGGATTTTCGTGAAAAAAATTTGCACTAAATCATGTAAACCTACTGAGTTTGATGTTTACTTTTTTCAGGTGCTTCAATGGGCGTCGGGGAATTTAAGATGTCTCGGATTCCAGTTCTGAGGTCAAGTTTCCATGGGCTCAAGGTTCGTTTTAAGTTTTTGCGGTTTACTTGCATTTCTGTTCAGCATATTCATTTTGCAATTTTTTTTGTTGTTCTTGGCTGAATTTGGCATATTTATCGGAAATTACACTTCTCCCTTTTATATAATCCTTTATTCATTGCTACCTCCGTTGTTGGCATTTTCCTTTTGAGGAATTCTTTTTTGCGAGCAGTATAAATTTGGATTCCGAATAGTAGTTTCAATTGAAGAAAAAACCTCAAAAAAAAAAAAAAAAAAAAAAGAACACAAGAACCTCAAGAAGCAATAAATTTAACACTTCACAGATTCATCGTCGCATTTACTGACGGATCTTTTGACGCCACTCGGTTCCGGTGTTTTAGTCTAAACTAATGGTCCTTCTCACTTAAAAGAATCCATAATTTTCTAGAAATTTCTTGGCCATTTACATAAAAGGCTTTGAATGAAATCGCTCCCCTCTTCAGGGTGTATAATAGTCTTGACTATACCGTAGAATTCAATAGTTAGAAGCTTGTCTCAAGTCTAACCTCTTGACATGCTTTTGAATTGTGGATCACGAACTTCAAATAATAATTCACCCAAATAGTGGTTTATGCTGTCATGTTCTCGGTAGAATGAGATGTGTAAGATGTTTACCGTATCTTAATAGTATCCTTTCTTTTCACGTAGGAGTGCTGTGATTAAAAAAATCCCGTGATTAAATATATTTTCGGATTAAAAAATAAGTACGTTTATTGTGTAGATAGATTTTAATATGCATTTGTGTTGTTACTGAAAGAACACACCGACACTTATGTACATGCGTTTCTGTAGAGTGGGGGAAAGTTGGTTGATATTTATTGAATTATACGCAACATTTGCAATTATTTGGAAAATACAAGTTTACCTTGAACTTTTGCGTTTATTTATGTATAGCCGTCTTAGGAATGAATAAATTGTGCATGGCAAGTGCAGGTTGAGATTGCGTACAACAATGCTATTGCCAAAACAAGACCAAGGATCTTCTTCTGTACATTTAGAAGCCCTTATCGAGGCCGTAACACACTAAAGAAACACGAAATAATACCTCAGAACACAGATCTTCCACCTGCGCTGCCCAAAAAGAAGAAAAAGCCGTACCCCGTTCCTCTAAAGAAAATTCAACAAGCAGCAAGAGCCGACAAGAAGCTAGCAGAAATGGGCATCGAGAAACCGCTCGAGCCTCCCAAAAACGGACTTCTCGCACAAGACCTAATTCCAGTCGCTTATCAAGTACTCGACTCTTGGAAAGTCTTGATTAAAGGGCTCGCACAGCTCATGCACGTTGTTCCCGTCCATGCTTGTAGGTAACTAACTAAACACACTTACATCAAGAAAGTACTGTTTTCGGATTTCTATAGAAGCACTTGAAAAACTTAAATGCTAAACATCGTTTCAGTTTTACCCGTATCGCTCCAATTTTCAAATGTGGTTTCGATGACAGAATCCAAAACATCGAAATTGTAGTCCTTTGTGTTAGATTTCTGATCTAACTTGAATCAGTAGATTGTAGGGTTCGACACAGTTATGCATGATTGAGTTACAATTTGAATAACTGAAACATCAAAGTTGTAGCCACTGTTTATTCATTCATGCATATCTGTCTCATGTGACATCCAATCTAGTTAATAGAAGTTGGATTTGAAAGCCAATTGAAAGGACTACAAATTTGGTGCTTTGAATCTTGCCAAGTTGAGACCGAGAAAATGATCAAAATATTATATATGAAGTCAAAATCGTACCAGTAAAATTGAAACGATATTTATCACTTCCTCTTGAAAAATTTACAATTCTCTAGTGCTTGTCTTCCCTTTTGCAGCGAATGCTCGGAAATTCACGTAGGGTTAATTGGCCACGACATTCAAGACTGCCGCGGCACGACAAGCGGGGCCCGCAGAAGCCACCACTTGTGGATAAAGGCCTCTATCAACGACGTGCTTATCCCCATCGAGTCGTACCACATGTTCGATCCATTCGGCCGGCGAATCAAGCATGAAACTCGATTCAACTACGATAGAATCCCCGCCGTGGTCGAACTCTGCATCCAAGCTGGTGTAGAATTACAAGAATACCCTTCTAGGAGGCGGACAGAGCCGATCCGGATGATCGGCCGGAAGGTGATCGAAATGGGCGGCATCGTGGAGGAGCCGCCACTATGCGGCTCGCTGGTGGCGGAGCTCGACACCCACTCCGCCTCCGGGAGGTTTCCGCCCCCGTCGAAGGAGGAGGTTCCAGCGGTTGCGCGGGAGACTCTCTTTGCGTACGAAAGGGTGAAGTGGGGGGTGAGGAAGTTGATGAGGAAGTACACGGTGAAGGCGTGCGGGTATTGCTCGGAGGTGCACGTGGGCCCGTGGGGCCACAACGCGAAGCTCTGCGGGGAGTTTAAGCATCAGTGGAGGGATGGGAAGCATGGTTGGCAGGATGCCACGGTGGATGAGGTGTTCCCGCCAAATTACGTTTGGCACGTGGAGGATCCGACGGGACCCGCACTGACGAGCGGGCTCAAGAGATTCTACGGTAAGGCTCCGGCGGTGGTGGAGGTGTGCGTGCAGGCGGGGGCGAGTGTGCCGGAGAAGTATAAGCCGATGATGAGGCTCGATATTGTGGTGCCGGAAGATGAGGAGGCTCGATTGATTGCGTAGAACGTTACTATTGGTGCTATGATGTACAAATACCCATAGTCTTGTAGTGCATTCAACATTACATAAACACCTGTAATATTAAACATACTTAATCTTATCTCGTTTTTGTTTTTGGTTTGTTTTGCGCGAGTATTACACATGACTTATTTATTGAAATCTGTAGCAGAAATTTGATCAATAAGGTTTTAGCAATTTTTTTCAGAAGCCCCTAACCAATCATATATAGGCTCGTCGGAAGCATTGGCGTTGCGATCAACATAGACCCACAAGCGATCGCATCGATAATCAGTAATGCGAATCGCCCCACATTGTAATTACAGTGATGCAGCCTTCTAACAAATTTACATATTTTCAAAATTTGTGAAACTACTAAAATCAAAATTTTATAGCAGACATTTTTCTTAAGGAAATCATGAAAGAATCTAAATACGTTTATATGTTTAATTTCAAATCCTTAACTCCAAATTAAATCGGGCCTAATTGTCGAATTAGCTGCAAGCTACAAGATGGCAATCATTTCTTTATTTTACCTCAAAATGAATTGATTATATAAGTGTTTTAATTTAATAATTGTTTAAAAAAAAAGTAGGTTACTTATCAATCATTAATTTTTTTTTGCATGCAACAAATGTATGATTTCAAATCTAAAGCATCAACCTGTAGTTAGTTCATAGTTGTATCCACGAACTCTAAATTTTACATAATAAGCATAAAAAACTAGTTCTATCAGCAGAGCCAGATTTAAGTTACACGGGCCGAATGCATAAACTTTATGAGGCGCCAGTACCAGCTCAGTTGCAAGGAAAACCGGCAGTTTTCTTTT